GCCCGGAGCCATCCTGCCCCGGGCCGCCTTCCGTCTCCGCGGGACGGGGCGCCGCCGCCGCGGGCCCTTCACCCTCGCTGTCCGGCTCCGCGCCCCCCGAGTCGGCACGGCGCTCCCGGGACGGGGCGACGGCCCGGGGCGGGGGACAAAGGTCGCGATCTACGGGCCAGCCGGCCTCTCCAGGCACGTGTAGGGAGCGGGGACCGCCCCATCCAGGCGTCAGCGGGGGGCGGTGGGTACCGATCACTCACAGGGACACACCGCGCCTGCTGGTGTATGCAAAAAAGTCAAGGATGTCGGTAAAGGGATAGGTTAAGGACAAGGGATGTCCTTAAGCTGTCACGATGACGCCGGTTTCGTTGTCAGATGAGCAACATTCTAGCACGTCGGTTGGCTCGAGGAGACGCTAGGAGCGCAGCTGAGAGTTTGTCTGAGAGAGGGAAATGCCTCTGTGCCCGGGAACATTGGTCTCTGCGGTGCGGGGAAACAGCTGCGTGTGCGGAGCGAGCCCAGCGGCTTTGGCTCTCAGGATGGGCGGAATGGTGGGGAAAATTACACCCGCGTTAACAAAGAAAATTCACAGCCAAATTTACTACCTAGAGGGGTAAACACTTGCTGTCCTCGGTGGACTAACTAATTCTTTGAGATCTAAATGTGCAGACAGAGAATTCGTTTCATTTTGCACATCGCAGCAGTGCTGCCTTCTCCTGTGCAATGCTGTGTGTGGGAAATGTTTACACAAATCCTGCGTTTACCAGCGTTGCCCCACCGTGCCAGTCTTTTCCCTCACTCCTTGTCTTTTGGTTGAAGTTTTCATCCAATGTGGAAGCAGGTGATTTTGTGATGAATCATTTTTCACTCACTTTCTGGGGGGAAGTTGCTTTAAAACTACTCCTGTGTTGAAGGTAATACCTAAAAGTGCATTGTGGCACACACTTCCTTTTTTGTGAGCCCTCCAAAAAATTGAATACTAATTATACACTACAGGAAAAGGTGTGAAAATAGCACCAGTCCTTCAGATAAGACAATCTTTATAATCTTTTTGTATGTAGATTGTCTTCTTCCAGAAATAAGCAAGAAATTATATTTTTGCAGTATGAAGTTACTTCCACTGTTGACACACACTCCAGACTGCAGGCTGTCTGGAAGTTCAGGAAGGCTGTTCCTGTGCATTTTGGGGCAGGAGTCTTGCAGACATAAGCTGACAGTTGCCATGCACTGCACGTCATTTGCTTCTGGAGCTTTGGCGTTCCGTTTTCCTGTTAGTTCTAAATTTAAACAAAGCCTTTTCAAGATAACTTAATTGCAAAACCTAGATCCAGATTTTATTTTATTTTTTTTTTTCCTGGATTCATTTTACTCAAGTATGATAACAGATACTACCTTTAGTTTAATACCCTCTTAGGGTAAGCGCCACATTTGGAAAAGAGGCAAGCTTTTAACAGTGGACAAAAAGCCTTCAGACCTGCTTAAGGTCTTCAAGTACTTAGAGACAAGGTTTTGTCAAAGGTTTAAAACAAAGTGTTTTTCTGAATATAAACATACTCATGGCTATCCAGAATTACACTCCTAGGTAGTTTATATCAAGCAGATCGAGGGAATAGTTATAAAATACCTTTTTTCCTTCCTTTGTTGTGATTTTTTGTTTTAAAGTGTACAAACTTGCAATGCTGCCTAAAAACAGTACAAAATTTGGAGTCTAGGTTTCCATACCTCTCCCTATGATCTGGAAGAATCAGTTACATGTATGATTTTCAGGGTTCTTACTGTGATACAATGTTGAAAACTGTGGGATTAGATATTTCTTTCACTAAAAATTGAAAAAGTTAGACATCCACTGTACCAGAGCATCTCTTAAAAGTTGATAGCCTCTGAAGTGGTCTCCATAAGCCAGACTTTGCAATGGGGTGATTTCCACCATGAATTCTTTTTTATCTGTTTTGCTTCGGTTAGTGCTGCTAAAGTCCCTGATGATTAGGGAAAGAAAATTACTGCAAGTAAGGCTGGCAAGATTGAAAAAGCTGATTATGGACCTTGAAATTGATATGATAACTGACCTGTGGAATGCCTCAAAAGACATTTGGGGTATTCATCTGAAGAGGTGAGACAACCTGTAACCCGGTTGAAGTGTCCATGCAGCTATGCTCATGGCATGGGTAACACAACAGCTGGAAACCACGGTGCTGCTGGAACACTGTGGTCTAACCACGGTAACTGAGATGTGGAGGGACAAGCTGCGTGCTGGAGCACTGCACCAGTGGCTAGGAAATGTTCAGAAGGGACAGGCAAGTAGGGAGGAGTCAGGATGATGTTACCCTCAGTGTGAAAAATGGATGAACTACAGGGAGCTGCCATGGAAAACCAGCAATGAACAGGTAAAATGGGTAAAAATATATAGGTGAAAACTGGGGTCAAACCAACAAGGGGAACTTCATGGCTGATGTTTGCTACAGGCCACCAGATCTAGGGGAGGATGTTAATGAAGTTTTTCCTTCAGCTACAGGAAGATTCACACTCCAGGCTCTGATCCTGATGTGGGGTTTCAGCCACTCTGCCATCTGCTTTAAGGAGGCCAGGAGTGCTCCAGAGTTCTTAATCCAGGTGATAGCACAACCAAAGGAGAAACTTTACCACAATAATAAGAAGAAAGACTTGTGCAGGTATGCGGTCAGAAAAGGAGACCAAAGAAAATGTAAGCTCCCAACAAATTAGACAGGATAACTGGCCTCATATAGAAAAGGCTGAGGCACTCAGCGGTTTTTTTGCCTCACTTTTCAGTGGTAAACTCTCTTCCCACATTTCTCATGTCCCTTGTGCCTAATCTAAATTAACCCCTCTTTGGTTTAGACTAATTCTTCTCCATTAAGTTTTGATTTGTACAGAAGAAATAGGCAGTTCAAATGTGTATGAGAAATACAATGTGGAAGGGACAGTGCAGACTAGATAGATGGTTTCATCATGCATTTTACTTTATCAGTGGTAGGATGTTTCTCATCCTTTCAGTGGCTGCTCTGGATTAAACTGGAGAGTCAGGCTCTATGTAGATTTCAAAATTTTTGCCCTATGGTGGCAGGTTTTCCACAAGAAACCCAGGTAAAACAGTTTCAGTCATTTTAAATTTCTTTTACTCTAGTCTTCAGATATATTAAAATGCCCATCAAAGGGGTATGTTGTGAAGCTCTTCATGTTGCAGTGGAGAATGTGACATTTTTTGTAATAGATAATGCGTCTTTATCCCACACTGAAAAACGCCATGCATGCATCCATACCTGCCTCTGTTTCTGAACAAGCAGTAGCAGAAATATGGACCAGCTTTTTCAAATGACTATTAGACACGGTGGCTAATATTTAAACCCAATGTGAAATTGCATGATTGTCATAGCTACCAAGTAATGGTAGAAGACTGTAGCCAGACTGAATGGAATGTCAGACTGAAGAAAATTAGACCTGCTACTGCAGATTTAAAAGCTATAATTTAGGCAGTTAGACTCCTGGACTATGTTCACTCATCTCCTGCTCAGATTTTAGCAAGCTCTTGTTGACATTTTGCATTACAAGCTACCTTCTAATGTTATCCATCCTGTGGATTGAGGAAAGAATTGGATAATTGAATTGAGATGATTTTTAATTGATATTGATAGAAGAACTGATATACTAATGTCATAACTGTTAAAAGAACTAGAGGAGTGAGGAACTGTTATTAAGTCTCATTCTCCCTGTGCAGCTGCCAGTAAAAAAGTCTCATGGCACATGGCAACTCTGTTTACAGAGCTTTGAACAGTGTCCCTGAACCACTCACTGCAGCTGTTCCCAGGAAAAGTGATATAGTTAATACTCTTAATGAATAAAATGCATGTACTGAACACCAGCAGTATACTTTAAATATCTTGGTGTGGTATTTGGAAATCAGGAGAGGATTCAATACCTCTTACTCAAAAAACACAGAGTTGCTTTGCTGGACTTTCAAGGGAGAGGAATAAGGGAAACTGTGATAATGAAACTAGTCATTACTGAGGCTTGGATACAATCCAAGACTTAAGTTTTCTTTCTCCTCCACTAGGAATTGATAAATGAGTAAGTGAAAGCTGTCATTCAACCTGCATACTACAGAAGTTAACTATCTAGAGCATATACTAAGTATTCCCTGAAACTTTATTACTGCTCTGATGATGGAAGAATGCTGACATATAACTGGAGACAACATATAATCCTGACAACATCTGAAAAGATAGGAAGCTTCATGTATCAGACAATGCTAACCCTTGCATTGAGAAATCTGGTATTCTGTATTGTAAACCCACAAAAATTGGTAAACTCTGCAGTAACTTGGACAGTGAGGTTCAAATATCAAAAATCTCACATCAGTGCTGGCAGAATTCTAGACTTCAACTTGATCTGTACACTTAGGACCTATTATGGAACACAACATACTCTCAAATTGAAGAACTGGAAACCTGAAAAACCAGATATGAAAAGGCTATTATGTAACAAAAACAAGTGACTATTGCAATGAAGCATGATACCTGCTGGAATTTTTTGCATCACAACAGAAATTGAACAAACTGCTGGGCATCATTGGTGTGATATTTTTATGGGATTCACACCATCTGCATCTGGCATATTGCATCTTATACCCTTTGATCATTGTATTATTGTGTTCTGTTTTATTAGCCTTCTTTATTCTTATGCTGGTATATTTGTATATTGTTTTTCTCTCCTGGTCAAAAGTATATCACATTTAACACATGAATTGTTAAATGATTACCTGCCAGGAAGAATGCTCTCTCCTTCCAGATGTTCCATCATAGTGTATAAGAAATGTGTATATAATCGACAGAACACCTGCAAGGACTACTCTCAAAGCTAGGTTTATATTTGCTTATTCACTGACAGATCTTCAGAGCCTGTTTAAAATAAATAATCAGTATCCAGTCTTGAACTGTGGCCAAATTTCAATTTTTTTTTTTTTTTCCCCAAAAAATGCCTTTAAATATCATTGCACCTTCCCTAAAGAATTAAAAGGTACAGGAAAGGAGGGAGGAACAAACAGCCGTTTGATTCAGAACAGTGTTATCAATCATAGTGACTGGAGTTTAGTTACAGAGAGAGAAGAGGACAGGCTACAGTAATACACCTTGAGCTCGAGCATTGACAGAACATTAGCGCTGGTGTTTTTGTTTAGGTAACAGAATTTATTGTTTACCTTGTTTGATGTTTCACAGGCTTTGTGTGTGCCTTTCCATCAAATGCACAGTGAAGTAATTTCTCCTATCCCAGGCTGAAGTTTCCTGGAGAAATAAAACCAGAAATTTAAAAAATAGGTTTGAATGACAGAAACCATCATTAGTGATTGTGTGGGTCTGAGGCACCAAAAGAATTTACAAGATGTCTACATTCAGAATTGATATGCTCTGGCTCTTAGTGCCTCTGGAGGATGCATTTCACTCTTAGGCATATTTAGCAAGAGGTAGAGAGATTACCTATTCATCCACCAGAACCAGAAAATACACCTACAGAGGCAGTGATTATTTATCTTCTCTCTTGGCAGAGCTACATATTTCATTGATGCACATGCTTTTTTGTGCTTTTTTTGTGGTCTTTTTGTGCTTTTTTTGTGGTCTTTTTGTGCTTTTTTTTTTTTTTTTTTTTTTTGGCATGCTGCAGTACATCAGTGAAAAGAAAGGATTCTGCCAACAAACAGAGCAGGAGAACATCTGTTTCTCTTAATGGAAAACCTATACTGAGTTTCAATGTCCATGCATATAGAGAAGCAAATCTAGGATGGTGGCAAACATTGGCATTGCTGGTTTTGCCTACTAGTCTTTGAAGGCTTTGTTATTTACAAACTTCTGGAGCTTGTCTGGGGTTCTCAAAGCTGATTCATTTTAATGGGTTAATTTAAGTTCAGACTAAGGCTCCTTGGCTGGTGTTTGGTGAATGTCTATAATGGGGGGGAGAGCGTGTTGATGTGTGTGCATGAGCATGTGCGAATGTCTGTGTGTACAACCTGGATAACCATTTTCCATCCAGAATGGGTGTATGAAAAAGCAAACCTCCTTGTGGATGGAAAACCTCCAGTCAATTCCAGAAACTATTTCTCAAGGAATACAGAGGAAGGAGCTAACAGAAGACTTTGTGGTAAAGTATTGGCTGACATATGAGCAAAGAAGCTGATAATTGAGCCTTGTTGTGTTTAGGCAAGTAGGATTTTATATTACGTAAGAATATACAGGTAATGACTACTTTATTGTACTCCTGGGGGTGAATTAAACAGGTGTTTTTACTTAAGTATAAAGAGGTCTAATGGAAAGTGCCTTTGACATAGTCCTCCTGTCACTGATGGTTCTTCAAGGAGTCTACAAAGATGCAGCATGAGCTGAATTTGTATGTACACTTGCACCCACCAGATTGTTGGCATGGAGCAACACTGGGTTAATTCCCCAGCACCAGCTCTGTCTACCAAAGTGGCCCCTGACCACTTGAATTACATGATGCTGCAAGGTAACACTGGAGCATTTATTTCCTCATCAGCAAAGAAATATTCACTCCTTTGTATGGTGGTTGATCTGTTTTTGGCATTCCTGCTTCCAGTCAGTTTAACCAGTTCGGCAGTTAACTCTTCTTGTGAACTATACCAGGTAATTCCTCAGTCACAAACTGCCATTGCTGAGCCATTTCCATTTGAATTTCTCCTTCATGACAAAAAACCCTTTTGGTTTGATCAGGGGAAATCCTCCACGTGGCTACAGCCTGGCTGTCTAAGACAAAGGTTATGTAGGAGTTGTACAGATGAAACCATGAGGTGTGTACATAGTTCCGTGGGGTGGTAGAATGTGTTGTCTGCTCTGACTTTCAGATGGATAAGACAGAAGGACCCCTCAGCTGCTTTCAGTCAGCAGTTAAGTTTCAGTCAGTTAAGCAGTGAGTTGAACAATGGGTTAAGTGTGCTCTGTCTTACCCAACTTCTTAATGCTGTAGGGACAGCCCTGTTGCTTTTGTAAAATTATCTCCAGAGCAAGGTGCTGCTTATAGCTTGATTAAATGTGGCAGGACAAGGCTCTAAAAGAAGACTCTCTCACTGGATGACATGCTTGAGATATAATGAATATTTTAATTTCTCTATGACTAAGCTGCCTTTCCCTCCCGATCAGTACAACACTGTCATATATCACAATAGTATATTTCCTGGATGAGTTTGGCTAAACAAATGCCTTTTTTCCTGAGGCAGTTTGAATTACTGTTAGCATGTCACTGGTCTGGTCTTCCACTGAGCCCTTTCAAAGCCATTCCGCTAACCAGTTGAAAAGGATATACTGAAGGACCTTGATTAGTACCTAAAACAAAATGTAATTTGTAGCTTTATCAGCATGGCTTGTGATTAACATAATATGACAGCGGCTGATGCTGAAACAGATTTGAATGTTTCAGCAATGACCTCACACCCCTCTGATGTTTTTTAGAAGATATTTGTTAACTGGTGTTTGATTTGCAGCAGCCTGGAGTGACTGACAGTGCAGGGCAAGATAATCCTGTACCAGGTAACAGAGAGCAGGTAGACCATGAGTCTGCATGCAGCAGAATTGGGAGCATGCAAGTTTCTGAGAGGGCTTTGTGACAGAACACACAATATATCCAGACAGTGACAAACAAATACTCCCAAGCAAGAGCTTTCACTTGTCTTCACTTTCACTTGTAATAAGAATACAAATCTTCAAGGGTTTCCAGAAGTCAATTTTCTGTTTCAGTGGTCAATAAGATATCAAAAGGGAATCTAGAATCACTGCATCAGGCATGTTTTTCACAAAGATGAAAGAACCTTGCTGAAATCAGAGACATTGAGAGGTGTCTGTGAGGATTGACATGGGGAGGAGAGCTCAGTTAGTGTTCCACCTTCGTCATGCCAAGAAAGGCATAGACTCACTCAGTGTTTGCTGTAGTGTCTGCCTCTCACATCATCATGTCCAGAAGACAGAAAAGAAAAAGCAGCTGTTCTGGTCCTGGATTAACTGTGTTGGGAAAGTGTTGGTGCTTGAATCAATTAAAATCCACGCAGAAAAGTGATTATCCCATAAACATCTGCCTGGCCAAGTCATCACAATGCATTAGTGCAAATTACCTCACTTCAGGCTCCAAGTAGGTCTGACAGGAGCTGTCTACAGTGAGAAGGGCCATGAGGATATGTAGAGTAATGGGCAGGACAGTGAGACACATCATCCCAGAGTCCAGTGGGAGGAGGTGAAAGAAGGGATGAGGTCACCCACAGGTATGATTCTGACCATTTGATTTGCTTGTCACATACAGCTGAAAGATTCATGAAGATAGGCCTGTTTTTGCAATCAGTCCTTACTGAGCTGGTACCAGAGAGCCCCAGTCATTTGCACTGGGCATTTCATAGAGAGCACCACAGGACCCATGAGGTGCACAAACCCTCATGGGGTTTTCCACTGAACTAAGGCATGGGCAAGCAAGAAGGCTGAGCAAGGACTGGTGAGTGCCTGAGCCACAGTCTTGCCAGGTTCAGGATCACCACTACCGTGTTTGAAACTTGGGTGAAAATCTAGCATCAGCTTAAATGGGACCAGCAGCACCAGCATTTCATTCCGTATGTCTGACATACAGCTGAAAGACCTTGACTGAGTCTAGGGAAGAACAAGGTCCTAAAACTCCCTCTGACCATAGATATGTGCAAGGATTCTGTCTGAAAGATCAGGATGATGATGCCCAAGATGACATCAGAACTCTAGCCCAGCTATGAGGTAGAGCTAAGTCCCCCAAATCCAATGTAGCATGTACTTGATAACATCTTCCATTCTACAAGCCTCACTGTACCTCACTGACTATAGAGAAAATGCAAATGTCAGGAGCTTGATACTGGAACAAGATCCAGAATCAATTCAGTGTTGCAGGAAGAGACATTCTAGTAAATCCTCTTCAGCTGGATTGAGTAAGCCATACTCTGGAACTGCTGCTGTGGTGGCCATGCCTTCTGCAGGTCAAGAAAAGATGAGCCTTCGTGTTGTGTCCCAGCTGTTTTCCAGTCTCTACCCCCAGTCTCCACCCCAGTTCTTCCCTCCTACAATTCAGAAAGATTCATAACATGGAGGAGTGAAGCCCTGAGATACTGTGGTACAGCATTCTTGCACAAACCAAATCTCTCTCCTATTTCACCCCAGCAAGCCAACTAGATTCCACTAGTGTGTATTTTTAATCTCTGCTCTCTGTGAAGACATTTTTCTCAGTGAGAGACTTCAGGAGCTGTGCAGCTTTACCAAATGGAGCTCTCTAAAGCAACTTACAAATGTACAGGGACTTCCTCTGGGTTGGAGGAAGTACTGGAGAGTTATTTGATTTGCAGCAGAAATGCTGAAAAGAGGCAGGGAGTGTCAAGGCTAGATGGCACAAAGAATGAACTACCACATTTTTAACAGGTGATGTTCAGTTTTTGAGCTAGCTACTGAAAGAAGTAGTGGTTTCTTTTGAAGACTCAAAAATCAGACAAGATTGTTTTCCTGAGAAAATTGTAAGACAAGCAGTAGTCTTAAGGTCGAATATTGACATACTTGGAAGCTAAAGATGAAGACAGAACTGAGGTCTAAAGTGACCACCTCTGGTCTGTAAATCTGCAATGTGTTCACTAATGGAGCTTAATTTACTGGGGTTGACAAGCAGTAGCTGGGGGACAGTTGTAGGCATTTGTTCCTCTATATTTGCTTCTCTGATCAAACCTGCAGAGCTTTCTAGAATTATGCATATGACCAGGAAGAAGTGCTAGCCCTTTTCTTGAATGAACTGCACAGTAATCCTGGCAATAATGGGATATACTCTTGCTGTGTGTATACATGGATATGGAAATATATATATATGCACTTAGACGTACAAGTGTACACAAATACACCCAGAGGCATAAAAGGATGAAACAAAGGATATGTAGAAACTTCAAAATCTCGGAAAACTCCTCTGTAAATAAGACGTCAGTCCTTTTTTTTGGTAAAAAAAAAAAATTAAAAAAAATCCAAAAGCTCTTTTGCCGATAAGTAGTTGTGATCACTGCTAACTGGGACATAAATCCCACTCTGCTTATTGCTGCTTCTTAGCTCATCACTAAAAATGGCCCAAGCAGATGAGTGCTGCTCTCTGCAAAATGCAAATTCCAAATCTACACTGCTGGCTATAGCTTAATGCTAAGAACTCTAATGTTTTTCAGGCTTTCAGCACATAGAAGTACATCAACCATGTGAGTGACTACTGTCACAGACTTCATTTTGAAGAAATAGTCTGATTAATGCCGTGAAAGCTGCTTACTCCCTCTCCTTTTGTCCTCCATTCAGGCCAAGCAAGATCAAATTCTGATTTACTGATGAGAAACTGGAAGTCATTGGACAACCCTCCTCACATGACTAAGTTTATTGGTCTTCCAAACATCAGAAGCAGAACTGCATTTTAATCGATTAAACATTAGCAGAGTAAAAAAGTCCAGATAGCTGGAAAAGATTTATGAAGGAAATTTTAATTTATGTTTTGTACACTGGTGATGATTATAGGTGAAAGACGCATGATGGAGCCCTGTTTTTCTCGAGCCTGCTAAG